TGAGATTGCATTAATAAATATGATTGCGACATATGCAATCAGGCCCTAAAGTCCCAAGTTGTGGGCAGGTCGGAAGTATATAATAAAAACGGCGACCTTTGGACAATTCCATGATTAATATCTTTACTGAAATATAATAAGTAGTAGGTGTGGTCACTGCCCATGACTGATTTATAGCCGCATTATTTTACTTGGTGAACACGAATCGGTTTTTGGCTTTTAGGAGACCTGGGTAGGGTTGGAGCTGCATTCCATTTGGAAAGGAATTTTTTTTTGAGGCAATGCTAAGTAGAATTTAACAGAATGTGATAATCAGCATTAGCTACATCAGCTTGACTGAACTGTAAAGCTCGAGGGGTCGATAAATATTTATATGAGAAAAAAAAGTAAAGTTTTGATTAATCTCTTGGTTCATAAAAGCTGAGCTTACATTAATTTCGAGTGAAAGTTTTTGGTGAATAGATCTACACGTTGATCACACCAAAAGGCGACGACTGATTTTTCTTAACTACCTGTAGATTGGCTTTACTGGGACATTCTTGTTAACATTGTTCCCGATGCAATCTCCTTCGATTCCGGTCAAATCGTATTATGCCTTCGTCCGTCGTATGACGGATATCATCAGAGCTGGGTATTCAGGCTAACGAGTCAAGAAGACCCCATTTCAATTATTCAGAAACATATGAACTTCTAATGAAGTTTGTAAACCAGGCTTATGCAATCGTTTAACGTTAGTATATGCAGGGGAGAAATTGAGAATTGGAAAATGAATTCGCTTCTTCATTGTATCTAAAAGTTTTTTTGATTCGTTAGCTTAAATATGTTAGTAAAGTTCATAATTTGTTCTGATGATGTCCGTCCGACTACATTACTTATTTTTCCTTCATAAGTGAAGTTTAGAGACTAATACACTGCTCTGTCATGGATCTACTCCCTCTGGGGTGCTGCTAAGACCTAGGCGAGGTGAAAACTGCAGGCCACCCTAGATAAGAACACCTTTTGGGAAAGCAAGACTATGTGAAATTCAATGAAGGCTTCACTTCTATTTATATAAATGGGGGGAAATTCAACTGGCATCCTTCATCAGCTTAAACGAAATAGGGTGAATACATCTTTGCTTCTTTGGCCAGTTATAGCCCTGTGCTAATAGTGATCAAATTCATTGACGCCACCGACTAAGCTGCCCGCAAAACATTCTGAAATCTACTAAGTCTAAGTCCCGATTCTGGAAATTATTATGACTTAATGCAAGGAGCGTTCTTTGATGTTCACCTAAGAGCATAACCAATAAATTAGCTTGTTTGATATCGCCTATCAAATTATCGCAACTATCTCAGTCTTTAGGTCGGTCTAGAGTCAAGACAAAAAACAAACGACGAGAACTGTGTTTCCAACAATTTACCGGTTTCCAGCTTAAAAGTAGATCGATGGTAAATACTTTCTGGAGAAAATGATGTTAAAGACGTTTCCCTCTGACTCAATTTTGAAGTGAAAAACTGTGGCTGACTTTTGCTCTCACAGGGTAACTCAAACTCGATTTTACTTTCCCCTAATTTTTGCCTTTGTTTTTCTGAGCCCATCTGCTCTACCCCAACTCATATTTCCTTTTTGTATTTAGGAAGACGAGTCGGCCAGATGCGCTGCCAACCTGAAGAGGCTAAAGCGTCAGTTGGTCGAGGCCCATTGCACGGAAGCCGAGCTGAGGGAAACATTGACTGAGGCTGTCCAGAGTAAACTTCGTAATGAAAGTGAAGCCAAGCTAATGAGGAGGCAACTAGGCGCTGTCAAGGAAGAGCTGCACCAAGCTCGGCTCGATAGCATGGAAGCAAATCACGAGGTTTGCCTCTACAGTTAAATAAGGACACAAGCATCCATCACAACGAGTTCAATTATTTATCCTCCACTAAAGAGACAGAATATTTTTCTTAATGTGCATCAGTTTCGTATATTATTCAAAGAATTGATAGAAATTATATGAACTTATCCAGTTAGCTGGTAAAAGGACCACTGATTATCGAAGCAAGAGTCCTCCGTAAAAATTTGAGTTGGTAGGAAAAACGGCTTTGCCCCTCAAATTATGCTAGTCGCGCGGGTCGTTTTGTTTTGGGATTAAAGATCTTGACTCTGAATCTATATGTCCACTATTAGATTCTTGCTTATGAGACGACAAGGTGATAACAAAACTTTATTATGGGTGGAAACAAACCGTTCTTGAGGATACATGTCAGGCAACTTTCAAATTGTGGTCAAGAGTTCATTTCACTTAAAAGTTCAACGATATCTAACAGTCTTATAACCCATATGAAACCTGTTTACTTTGGTATTATTCAGACTCTTGATAGCTACAACCAATCATATATTAACATATGCGAAAAAAAGTTAGGTTTTGAGGAATCTCTTGTTTCATAATTGTTGAGCTTACTTGCATTTCGAGTGAAAGTGTTTGGTGAAGAGATACGACTAGACAATCCCTTTCTCGGCTATTTTCTCAAGAAGCCTTT